ACGACATGTAAGCAGTTTTTTAGTCTGTCAGAACTGTAGAGAAGAAACAGAGAATTACTGTTTGCACTGTGTTCTCTTGTATATGCAATTAATTTTCTCGGAAGCCTTACTTGTGACTATTGTGATGTCCGCTTTTGTTAACGTGTTTAATTTGTGCGTGTGTGTTTGCGCGTGTGTGTGTGCTTCAATCTGTCTTTTTGTTAATATTTGTTATACTGTGTTATTGTCATATTATTTTTATGTTATATTTATTAAATTTTGCGGGTAGCAAGGTGAGGTTGTGGTGGTTAAAGTGGCTGTTCCAGCTGCTACTGTAGCCGCGTTTGAACGCGTGTTCGAAAATTTCATATCTGCGTTGTTTATTTTCTTTGAGGAGTACCTAATTTTGAAAAGTTTAAAAGATGATAACATTACAATGACAATTTTAAAACGCTGAACGGTTTTACTATCACTAATTTCTATTACTTGAAATTCTCTTTATGTTCGTTTGTGCATCTGCATCCGCATCCGGCTTACTTACGTTTGCATGTTGAAATGTGCGTGCCGACCGTATGTGCTAATTGATGTTTATTGTGAATGCACTGGGAATACTGGCGTCAATATTTAATGATGACTCCACTGTTTTTTATTGTTGTTTGTATATTCCTCTCTCTCTCCTCTCTCTCTCTCTCTCTCTCTTTAAACTTTATCTCTCTGTGTACTTTATAGCACTCATTGTACTCTTTGCCCTTGAGCAGTCATGTTTATATGTTGTGGTACAACCTTCTAAGAAATACCTCAGTTATTTTTGTGTCTCAACATCTGATTAAGCTTGTAGTACTTGAATGCTAACTTCATGGGGCCCAAAGTGATTTCAGCCTGCCAAGGTTTATGTCTTTGGTTTTAAAAATTTTCTCAAAAATTTGTTGGGTAAAAAATGTTGATGATTCACGTGTATAATTTATGGAATAGAATATTATTTTTTTCAATGAAATATATTGGCAAACTTCAAGGCACATGAATTTATATCTGCGATGTGTAATTTAAACTTTGATTGTGTGTTATGATTTACTGTCGACCATTTCAAATCTTTTAGAAAATAAAATGATTCAAGTCAAAATGAAGAAATTTCTAAAAATAATAAATATCCAAAATATATTTAAGTGTTTTGTTAATGAAAGAATGAGTGAACGAACGAACGTACGAACGAATGAATGATTGGATAGATGGATGGATGAATGGATGGATCGATAGGTGAATGATTGAATGAAAAAATAAACGAATGAATGAATGAATAAGTTAATGAATGAGTGCAACTTAGTCATGGTGCTTAGTGGAAATTTAATTTTGTAGATGAATATTTTAACAGGCCCGACCAGCCTAGTCAACAAATTATAAGGACATCCTCTTCGATGTTTAGAGGAGCTTGTCTGTATGTGTGTGTGTGTATGTATGTATATATGTATGTATGTATGTGTGTGTGTATGTATGTATGTATGTATATATGTATGTATGTGTGTGTTAAAACCAAAACATGATGAGTGACACTGAACCGTCAAACATCAAGTAACAAATGGATTAACACTTTGATTTGTCGTTAATTGCACATGTCGGCATTCAGTTGGATATTTTCAAGCACACAGGCACGCAGGAACCGCTGCAACAATCACGAAATGTGGTTAGTTGCGAAAAACAGTTCCCTGCTGTTGCCTGACGCTGATCATTTTGCATATTTCCTTAAGAAATTTAAGGGTGTTGGGGTTCATCGGGCCAAGAACCTCGATGCATATTGGCAAGAATTCCATCGAGGGGAGGGCGTTCCCATATTTTTTCATTTTCTCGTCCGCTGCCCTGGCCGCGGCCAAACCGCATTCTTTACTTGTCAGGTTTACGTATCGTTTGGCGAGGGTGCCAGGGACCGTAACATCCCACGCCAAACATCTGCCGGCTCTCCAAGGTATTAGCGTGCATCCGTCCGGGCGCCTACCATCATGCGCAGAAATGCCAGATGGTTCCTTGAGAACCGGGATTGAAGCCTTGGAGAAGAGCCGACAAATGTAATCGTTTAGCGCTGAGTGACGTAGTTGACGGCCCCCACCCAGGCGACAAACCAAACCGTGGTGCCCAAACTCGTCCGCCCCAGCGCCACATCGGCACGTGTATTTATTCTGAATGTATGTATGTATGTATATATGTATTTATGTATGCGTTGTTTGTATTTTCCGACTTTAAAAAGTATAACATGCCGATTATGAAGAAAAATATCAAGTGCGTAAGTTAAGTACCCACCCATCTAGTATGTACGAGTCCTTGGTGGCTAAAAACAATAGCTAGAAATACTATCATCTGATCCCCGACCTGCTAATTAATCTTGGTTTCAGGATCTCCTACCCACCCATCCAGTTACTTACGTCTGAATGTATGCGTGTACGTCTGTATGTATGCGTGTGTGTATGCGTGATCGTGTGTCTGATTCATAAAAATAAATACACCCTTTCGACCCCAGCTCCTGCACTCGGCAAGTTGCATACGGTGATGGAGATTTTTTCAACGCTATGTTCAGGACTGAAGGCTTCCCATCAAAAATTTCAATTAAATTTGTGATTTTTATTATTTTTGAACACTTGGTAGTGGCAAAACATTTAACCAAATTTTTGAAATTTTATGTTAAAATACAATATATCTATATATCTATTTAGATACTATTTAAGTATGAGATATATCTATTTATATACAAGTAGAATTCAGCGTATAAAAGATACATGATACATGGATTATGGGAAATGTATGTTTCTCCATATATGAAAACATGATGAATGCATACTTCTGCTGCACGTCTTCATCATCATCATTTAAGTGTATAAACATGTTGTTGGGCTTTGTGTTTGTTTGTCTGTCTGTGTGTGTTTGTGTTTGTTTGTTTGTGTGTGTGTTTTTATGTTTCTGTTTGTTTGTTTGGTTCAATTTGTTTTTAAATATTGTTTCGTTTGGTGATGTTTGTTGACGTTGAATAAAAATTACTTTTCAATATAATTTTTCAATTGTTTTCATAAAACAGAATTCCTTCCCCTCTAATGCAGTTTTAAATTATTTTTTGTTTAAAGTCAAACTGAAACAACGTGACAGGATGTACTTAACATGTTACATAACTTTAGGACATACAATTTATATGAAATCTTAAAAATATACACAGATAATTATTTGTACATACAAATACAAAAATGTTTTTATACACATTTTTGCAAAAGCTCATGTACAACGAAGGTACAGTGTACAAGGATGGACCGGGAATACTTTGACGAAGGGTCACACAACGGAAAATTTGGCGACCCTTTTTTTTAGCATAGTCGCATATTTTTTGTCATTTTGAGTCACTATTCCAAATAGTGGTTTGTAGTAAAATGTATACAAAAACTACCAATTAAACATCATGTTGGATGAGTATAAAGACATTTAGAAAGAATTGTACCTGTGATAATGGCTTCCGAAATCAGGCACTGCCAGCGTTTGAATTATATTTACTCATGATAATTTAACAACACACAGAAATAAAATGTCAAAATACACTTTTTTTTACAAAAATTCATAAGTTCAATTTCTAAGATTAATATTTACTGATAATGTTAGTTATTTGGATAGTTTAAATTCAATGATAGAAAGTAAAGCATGGCATCCTTTTATTGAGTTATTAAATTTGAAATTATGATGTGAAAACCATGAAAACAAACAAACAAATAAACAAATAAACAAACAAATAAACAAACAAACAAACAAATAAACAAACACGACGCACATTTTCATAGGCACATCAACAAGCAACAACCACCCGTCCATCTATCACCTCACTCTGACAGTCTCCAAATCCAGCTGGTCAGCAGATGCTCTCCTCACGTCAAAACTCTACCTCATACAAAATTTTTCACCATTCGATTGTATAATGCCTCTGCGTATTAGCCATGACAATATAGTTAGTAATCAATCGGCCAATCAAAAAACGAAATGAAACGAAATTAAGTTTTTTTCATCCAATAATCTTCAAAAACTTTTAAAAAACTCAAAATCATAAACTTTTAGCTTTTAATTATCAGGATTCATCCAACTTTGGAAGGCAAATTTTGTTCCTGGCTCTCAGTAAAGAACGACAAAACGTGCTAATTGATGAAAGATGGGCGTGACGGGAAGAAAATTAATATTGGAAAAATATTTAATAGGTGTCGTGTTTTTTGGTACTCATTTCTCGGTTCTACTGGGTTTAATTAGTGATGAATATTTTTTGTGAAATTTTTGAGAAAAAAACGTTTAATGTGAAACTTTATGTCTCTAAATGGTTTTTTTTCGTTATTTTCAGTGGCTTTTGTTTCGTATCGTTTCGTTAAAGACGACGTTACGATAAAATTAAGAACAAATGGCAGATGTCTTATTTAATAAACAAAAGGCTAGCAGGCAGACAGACAGACAGACAAACATGCAAGCAATCGAGCAATAACTCCTGCGAATGTCGCACTTGCACTTGTCAATGTTTAATAAAAAAAAATTGCTGAATTAAGACAGCACGCAAGGACAAAAAATGGATTAGCTCAATAAAATATTGAAATTTGAATTTTAAAAGAACTATCTAAATTTAATTCTAGCAAAAAATCAAGAATATTCTCACTGAAGAAATATGATTTAGAATTATGAAATAGGATTACGAGCGTGGCTTCAATTTGCGAGACAAAATTTAAGTTTGGTTGCTTGCTTTGACAGTATTCATAAATATGAAAATAAATATAGTTTTTATAGATATAAAAGCTTAAATAAATAAATAAATAATTGTTGATAAAAAAATTTGGCAAAAAAACTAACTATACAACCTTAACAGACCATTCATTAATGGAAGATTGCTGAAATAGCGGAAATGTTGCTTTGTAAACTCATTGATTGATTGATTGATCAATTGATTGATTGATTGATTATTTAAGACTCAAGCCACAACCACAAGACCCAACACATCTGATACGCCCATTAAAGACGTGTTATCAAAACAGATAATAAACGCTCGCCTACATCAGCCCAAACTACCAGCAAATTGTCTGTAATAATTATAAAATTCTGATGACTCTCTCTGAATAATGGCCATATAGACGGCGAGCCTAGAAGGACAGAACGTACTTTTGCATGGTTTGTTTAAGGAAGTGGACTCATAGGTTCGGAACGCTGGCTGACTGCTGCTCAAACTGTTACAATGTAAAGTGAATAAGTTTTCATTTTGGAAATTTGAGAGTAGGTTTGCGTGAAAACATTTAAAAAAAATTTTTAGATTGGTTTAAGAAGTTTAACAAAGATATAAAAAGTTGAAAAGAAATACAATCTGATGTATATGAAATCGCGTTTCATGTTACATTTTTCAAACTTTCCATTGAATCTTTTTTTTAAATCGTGTAGCTGAAATAAAATGTAAATTGTTACCCTCTTTAAAAAAATAAAATCGACCCAATGAAAAAGATTTGCAATGTATGAAATTGTGAAAATCCTGTAAAGAATATGAAATAATTATACGAGAAGAAACCCGCATACATACGTCTATTTAAAACGACAAACTAGTTTCAAGTTGACTAACTGAATGAAAAAATGATTGAAGTGAGATCTTCTGAGCGATCTAATAAACCATTTACTGAACAAAATCACTGGTAGAAATGAACTAGCCAAGTAGGGTTGAGAAGACACTTTAAAACTGTTTGAGATTATGCGAATCATCAGAACAATAGCACTCCAACTCGTTTCAGCGCTCATTCCAATCAGTTGTTATTAGGCACACGTGTGTTATATTATGTTATATTATGTTATATACTATGTTATATTATGTTATACTATGTTATATTATGTTATATATTATGTTATATTATGTTATATACTATGTTATATTTAATGGTAATTTTCAACGAGCTAGTGATGTGTGTATTGCGTTAATAATTTGTTGTTTTTTTGATTGTTGTTGTTTTTGATTGCTGTTGTTCATTTGTTTGCTGTTGCTCGTTTATAAACTGTTCATGTGTTGTTCATTCTCTTCTCTGTTTGATAATTTGTTGATTATTGTTGCTTCGCAAGTTTACTTTGTTCTTTCATTCAATTTTTCGCATGAATAATAATGGAAATAAATTAAATTAGAGAATAAAATTTATAAAAGGAATTAATAAATTAATTAAAAATAAATAAGAAAAAACCAATAACCATAGATAGGAGATAGAAGATAGATAAAAATATAAAATATATCCGAATAAAATATCGAATTTAAATTTCAATTGAAGGCTGGATAGGAGAAAGAATAGGAAGACATGGCAAGAACCCATCAGTTTGTTCTTTTAAAAAGCGCCTGCCACTTTGTATTAATTTCGTCGTGACCAATGATCATGATAATGATGATGAATAATTTTCCAATGATTATGATAACGATTATGAATAATTTTCCAATGATTATGATAACGATTATGAATAAATTTCCAGATCCTGATAATGATGATCACTGCCTGCATATCTGAAGACTCTGAAAATGATTACAATGGCTAACTCTCTCGTTAAAATAGATGAAAACTAATCATTCTCCAATGATAATGATGATGGTGATGAACTCTACTCACGTGACGACGAAGATGAAGATGATGAAATTGCTCATGACTCTGGTGTTGACGATGACGTCACTGACGATGGTGACGTGCCATGGAATTCCAGATGACGAGAATGGAAAAGGTTGGTGGGAGAAAGTTTTTAATGATGCTAGGTATTTTTTGCTGCTTCGTGTGGTTGTTTATTTGTATTTTTGACGGCTTGTTTGGCTGATGTTTGTTTGTTTGCTTGTTTTTTGTCTGTAGTTGGCGTATTTTGTTTTTGTTTATTTGTTGTGTTTGTATGTTTCATTTTTGTTGTATTTTATTTTATTGCTTGTTGTTTGTCTGTTGTTGGTGTATTTTATTCTAGTTTATTTGCTGTTTTTATGTTTCATCTTTGTTGTATTTTATTATATTTTATTGCTTGTTGTTTGTCTGTTGTTGGCGTATTTTATTCTTGTATATTTGTGGTTTGTATCTTTCATCTTTTTTGTTTTTTTATTTTTGTTTATATGTTGTTTGTATGTTTCATCTTTGTTGTATTTTTTTTGTTTATTTGTTGTTTGTATGTTTCATCTTTGTTGTTTTTTTATTTTTGTTTATTTATTGTTTGTATGTTTCATCTTCGTTGTTATTCTTCATTTACTGCAAAGTTATTGTTGCTTGTTCAAACTTTTCTAAAGACATTTTTGCCATCCACATAATTTTTTTCTTAATATATTTCATAAAAGGGGTTAATAATTTTTTATTTATGTTTTATTTGTGTTTTTTTTTTATTGTTTACCTGCTAATTTAACTGAGAAATTGTTTCTGAAAAATTGAATGTTGAAAATGATGACGATGATGATGACGATGATGACGACAATGATGATGACCTTACCTGATGTTGAATAGTAACAAAAAATATGACAAAAAATATTTGAACCATTGTTAGTGT